CCAAGGCCGTCGGATGCCCTGGAAGAGCAACCAGCAATGTTTATTTTTGGACAAACCAAATCTGTAAATAAATTAGATATAAACCATCCTTAACCCCCTGGATCCGGGTGATGCGACCATCCTCTCGTGAAAAAAATCTGGTTCAAGGGGCACGTGATGTGAACGTGCTGTCATGGGAAAATCTGACAGTAGGCCGGGTGACGCAAACCTACCATTGTGATCATTTTGGCTGAAGGCCGGGGTGATGGAAAAGACTCACATTTTGCATTATTCCCATCAATGTATGAGTGTAGAATGTAATGCCCATGAACCATGACTGGAGGCTCCATGGAAGACGTCATTTCCATGCTCAGCATCATATTTCTGGCACTGTGACTGGTGACACAGGTTGTATTACAGAAAATTTAATTTTACATAAAAATAAAAAATGACACAAATTACAAAGAGTTACATTTTTTTTTCTTGCACTGAGTTGAGACGACTTAGCGAGATGATATGGAGTTTGTGCAAAGAAAAAATCTATTACCATCTGGATAATGCAAATCAAATAGTAAATATGGACATTGGCAAATGGACAAAAAGCTAAAAATGCTTATGTGTAAAAAGAGTATATATCTTTGCAAATAGGAGGCATAGTCTTTTCACGATACACACGTGTTTGCCTACAAGCCGCCACCTGGCAGAGTGGCTGCTCACATAAGCCTAATGCCTGGATTTTTGGTGATGTGGTTGCTGTGATGCAACTGGATCCAATGGGTTAATTCACAATTGTTTGCATATCACTTTAATTTAAAACTAGTACTAATATTCCTTTTGAAGGTAATTTGGTCACTTAATCATCAATGACAAGTGAATATGCTGGAACACCTGGTGCATGACAAACTTTTTTTTCCAACTAATCAATCACCCCATTCTAGTAACCATTTTAGCCTTGTTTGCACTACGTTTGGTAAATATTTGAAACGAGCACAAGAAACATATTTTCTTGTGCAGAAAATCATGCTTCTTCCTTTGGCTGCCTATACCGAATCCTGAGATATATAACTCTGAGACCTATTTCATAAAGCAGAGAAACTGGGGCAGCTAGAAGACCACCAAGCAATACATAAGAATCAGAAAAATGCCACCAGGTGTATAAATTAGTATTCTTCAGCTGCAAAAAGAAATCTGTCTTTGATGAAAGCTGAAAAATTGGTGAAGTTGTTTGCTGGGTGAGTGAGTGGGTAGGTACATTCACTATTCAATTGCAGAAGCTATAGGTTTTACAGATTATGACTCATTATTTTGTCTGAAAACAGGATTAAAGGCAAAAAAAAAATTGCTTATTCTTCTCTTCCCCAAATCTAATCATAAACACCTGCCCATCTTTTACTGCACCTTAAAGAAATCGGGCATGAGCATGGGCAGGACAACAGCTTCCTCAAGCAGTCTCTTGGCCTCATGCAGGTCAGCGATGTCATTCCATCGGATACTTGGGTTCTTCTGCACAATGTCTCGCTCGATCATATCCACCAGGTCGCGATCGTAGCCACTGGGGTCGAATTTCTTCTCATCATCCTCTTCATTCGCAGCTCGGTTTTCTTCTTTTCCTCCTCCACCCTGCTGAGAAGAGTCAGTCAGTAAGATAAACTCGTGAAGAAGTTAAATAATCAGAGAAATACACAAGATATGGATCTGAAGAATGCCCTTCTTTAGAATAACATCATACATATTACTATTCCAAAAGATACCATATCTGCTGATAAACAAGACCAAAGTTAAGATGCAAAAAAGGAAGAATGGAAGAGTAAAGAGATGACCTTTTCCTCCTTCTTATCGGCATCTTTCTTGGTCTTGCGGTCTGAGGATTTGTCATCTCGGCCTCGGCCCTTTGCGTCCGCTCCTTTCTTTTGGCTGGCCTTGGTGCCCCTAGTAGGACCTGTGTTCTTGCTGGAGTCCTGCTTCTTTGGCCCTCTAGTGGGCTTCACTTGAGGTGAGGACCTGCGGCAAAATGGGATTTTTACAATCTTTCTGGTTGATTGTGATTCTTTTTTTCATGAAATTTATGGTTGATTGCTTTTGTGCTGCTATTACAATATATATAGGAAAAGTAATCATCTCTTGTCTACATTAATAAGGAAAAATAATTAACGTAGAAATAAAATCTGGATTTAAAGGGAAGACCCCTAAAACTAAATTGAATTTTGCTGAATTAATCAACATGGCTTACATACTTGTGATCAGCAGGAGTTGGTGGAGGCCATACATCTGGATCACGGGGAGGGGGGGGACCCCATACGTCTGGGTCTCTTGTGGGTTCTTCAAATGATGACATGCGTAATGATGTCCCTGACAGAGTGAAACAGTATCTTATAAGATTACATTGTCAGGGCTCTTTATCTGAAGCAATGTGAGATCAAACAGACTTCCCTAACAGAAATGTTTTTACTTTACAATAAGACTAACAGAAATTCCTTAAAATAAACTACAAGAAAGGATTAATCCTTTCTGAATACACATGTATGTGCGTATATATTTATGTACATATACACATATGAATACACACACACACGTGTGTGAGTGTGTATAACACACACACACACACACACACACACACACACACACACACACACACACACACACACACACACACACACACACATATATATGGGGGAAACTGCTGAAACTGCAATAATGGTCACCAGCCAAATTTAAATAATTCAGTTAATTGGTTAAGCATTAAGAAAAAGAAAAAAGAAGAAAGAAAGAAAGAAAGAAAAAAAAACATTAAGAAAAACAAAAAGATCAGCTATCCATAAATCAGCACAGCAGGACAGACAAATAAAAATAAAAATCATAACAACAGAATGAAATGAGAAAAACAAAGGCATTGAAGAAAGAACAAAAATGTGGAGAGAAAAAAGACAGACTTCCAATGCAGCATTTTTAAATCAAAGCTGTGGAAAAGAAAAGAAAAAATGAGGGAGAAGCCAAAATAGAAGAAAGGGAATCCAAAAGGAAAACAAAAGAATCAACTCACCTAAAGGTCTGTCTGCAATGGCTGAGGGATTATCTGACTTGAAGAGGGATATAGAATTCATGAGTTCTTTCAGGTTTTCATATTCTGCTGCAACCTGCTGCTGAACCTGCAAAATACTCACTTATATATATCAACATACAAATATAGACTACAGTAGACAATCACACTCATATTTGGAAATGCACAAACAGACTTAAACTTTCAGTACATAAATTACAAGTAAATGATGTCTATATAATTTTTAATTCATCTTAAATCTTCAATCAATTCAAGGCAAATAGAGAGCAAGCTTTGTTTACTCTTCAAAAAGAAGTGCATTTATGAATAAACCTGGAGTATGTACAATATACCAATGAACTAAGAGAGAATCCATTTCTAATAGAATAATGTTTACTGTTTCTAAAAATACTACTCAATATGATTACTACTACTACCTCAGCTGCTGAGAAAGGGCAGCTAACTACTTTATTATGGCTTCTATGTACAGTTGCTTTTTTCCTATAATACCTGCTGCCACTTTATCTTCCGGTTGGGCTCTTGTATGGTTGCAAGCAGTCTATGGATTTGCTGTACAACGCCCTGATAGTAAACAGCAGCTGTCTCATACTGGCTGGTAAGGGCCATCTCTCTGGCCAGCCTCATGTTTTCACAGATGTCCTGCACATTCACCATCATGGCAGGCTGGCAAAAGAAGTGATATTTAAATGATTCATGTTCTAAAACAAACTATGATATACAATCTATAATTCAAAACAAAAATAAAGTCCTTATGCAGATATGTTTTTTTTTGTCTTAAATATCTTTAAAGTGTTTTTATAATGGTCTGCTTTTTGTATAGATAAACTAAGTAAGAGTGAAAATAATACATACTATCAGCTTACATTACACTACATGTCTGATGCAATCAAATGACCTATCAATATAATTACACCTAAGATATTACTTAATTGTTACTAGGCTCTTATCAATGTGCATGTACCATCAAATATTGTCTTGACTGGGAGTGAAAAGTTGACCAAAACTTCACTTTGATGCATATTTCATTATCTTTTTTTCTTTTTACAAGATAAATATTAATGGTAAAATCTTGAAAAAGTCTTTAATTAAATGGAAACAGTTGTAGATTAAATAAAATACTGAAAAAAATGTGGTAGTTGCTTAAAAAATTATATAGTTAAGGAATCAAATATAACTGGTGAAAACTTATTAAAAAGAAAATTAAAGAATTAATCAATGTCAATTTGTATAACAATAACATAGAAAATTAAAGTTACATGCAATTCAATTCATGTTTCTTACATATGTAAGAAGGTTGAATCTACTATTTTGTGGCTGAGGATGGAGAAAGGAAAGGAAAGGAAAGGAGAAGAAGGGAAAAAAAAAAGAAAGTGTGGTCAAAAGTTGACCAACAATTAATCTATAAAATCAAGCTTTTAAATCCCTTAATGTGTCTGACTTTGAAAATGTTAATTCAAAAGGGGGTGGGGCATCAAAGGTGTCAAACCCAAATAATTTCTAGGAAAACCTAGATAACTAGATGAAAAAAAAGTTACCTATATGACATCGTATATTATGGTATGGATGCATTAGACAAAGGCCAATTGATTATATTCTTATAGAGGACAAAAAGTTGGTACAAGAAATAATCTGCAGACACAAATAGTAATAAAAAAAAAAAAAGGTAAGTAATTAAGTAAGTCAACCTTTCCTTTGGGATACACCCAATTACGGCAAACCAAGTTGTTGAAAAATTTGTAACATGGAGTTGGGGAGTGAGTCCGTATTGTAAAAAATTAACCTGTTCTAGGTAACAATAAATTTACTCCAAACAAATGTGAAAAGATAATATAGATAAGTCAGCCAATGTATATATATAGAGAAACCTAATCTAAACTAAATAATACAATGGATAGATTGGTGCAGTAAGTTTTCTTATCAAATATATATTTTTTTCTTTGCTATACTGTGGGAAATATAACCAATATACATTTTTTCTTTCTATGAGGATTCCAAGTCACCTGAAGTCTAGTAATCTAATTAGAGTGGTCAAATACTTGACAGCACCCAACAAGCGCCAAGAAAAATGAAAGTCGCAAGAGTAGTCAACTCTATCAAATATTATGGGGTAAAGTTGACTGACCACATTTTTCATGAAAAAATATAAAGAAAATGAGCTTTTGTACTATTAAAGTTAATACTTTTTGTATATCCTTTTCATTTTTTCTTTTCTTTTCTTTTTTAGCATGATATCTATATCTGAATTCCAACATTGGTCAACTTTGGACACTTGAGAGTAAAAGACTAATAGAGACTCAGTGAGGCAAGGGTGGAAGGAAGGAGGGGTGAAATGGGGGGAGAGGGAGAGGGAGAGGGAGAGGGAGAGAGAGGAAGGAAGAGAGGGAGAGAGGGAGAGGGAGGGAGGAGGGGAGAGAGAGAGAGAGAGAGAGAGAGAGAGAGAGAGAGAGAGAGAGAGAGAGAGAGAGAGAGAGAGAGAGAGAGAGAGAGAGAGAGAGAGAAAGAGAGGAGGGAGGGAGGGAAAAAGGGGGAGAGGAAGGGAGGGAGGAAGGGAAGGAGGGAGAGAGGAAGGGAGGGAGGAAGGGAAGGAGGGAGAGAGGAAGGGAGGGAGGAAGGGAAGGAGGGAGGGAGGAAGGGAAGGGAAGGGAAGGGAAGGAGGAAGGGAGGAAGGGGGGAGGAAGGGAGGAAGAGAGGGAAGAAGGGAGGGAGGGAGGGAAGGAGGGAAGGAAGGAAGGAGAGGGAGAAATAAAATATTTGTCTAATTCCTATAATTCAACTGTCAGGAAAGTATAAATATAAATAGTATAAGTCCATAACTTAATAAAGCTCACATCCTGGGATTTTTCTTTTTTTCTTTTCTTTTTTTTTGAAAAATGCTGCACACAGACGTAAGCCATCACAGGAAGTGGCAGTTCCATGACATTTTGGAAAAGGGGATGGAAGTGATGGAATGTGTAAATAATGGTTAATAGTCTAAACAAATAAATGGGCTAGATAAAAGGGTAACAAGCAACAAAAGCAAGAAGCAATAAATCACAGGCTCCAAAGGAAGCAACAGCTCACCCGGTGGAATAGATCTGCATTTTCCAAATATTTTGGAGAAAACTGTCGCATTTTTATACTGATTAATGCTAGGAATAAGGTCTAGTCTCTAATGATGTTAAGTAAGGAGAAAAGGTAGAAATATTCATATATACACATGATAATCTACTTATATATATACACATGATAATATACAGGAAATTGTACAAATATATAATTCAAGCTGACATATTGTTATTGACTTTAGCACAGAAGAATTTACATTATCACTGAAAGCATTCAGATATTTCCAAATACTGCATAATACTCTCTTGTGGGCCAACAGTGTCTTACTCTGATGGGGGGGGGGGCTACCATTCATGGATCTGCCACTGATCATAGTAAAGAGGCACAAACAGACAGAACACCACATGGCCGATAAAATTATATAGTTAGTTAACTCTCACAGTTCATTAGCTGTAAATAGGCTGACTATTCTTGTAGTACATACTAATAATTTCTGGTTGCAGGTAAAAGAGGAATAAAATTATGTTTTGACAGGCAACTGTGCTACAAGTTCTAAAGGTAAGCAAAATCCAGCAAAATGATAATCACTGTCATGACAGCTCTTGAATTTCACAACTAATAATATGAGATCTGGTGTGAATTTCCTACAAAAACTGATGATTTGGTTTACTATTCTATATATACTACAAACACATTAGGATAAAGAGAGAAAAGAAAAAGTTGAAAAGACAGACAATTTGACTAGCAACTCTTCAACTATCATTCAACAGGCAATTTTCAATGCCGTGCAATTTGAGGTAATTATGACATACACTTGCTAGGAAACCAGGGATCTTCATTCCATAATTAGAAGTGTTAAAGACATATCTGTCACTAATACAAATCAAACAAAAATCTGTCGTAACTGACCAGCTGCTGGTAAAAATAAAGACACAATCTTAACAATAATACACAAGGGAAAATGTCAGTCCATACTCAAAAAATTATTAAGACAAAGGAACGGCATCCAAAAGAAACAAGCAAAATTCCAACTATCACACGAACACGAAAAGGAAAAAGAAATCACGAACAGTCACACACCCTCTTCATCACATACTTTTACTTTCTCAGGACAGGTAAATGAATCTGTATCTACCTGCCAAAGGTGATATGCCGAGACACTGCAAATCCTGTGCACTTCCGGACGCAACATTACAACTCCCCTAAGCCAAGAATCCTACCGAGAAGAATGAGAGGCAAAAAAACCCAACACCCTCGCCTATATCACGCCAAACGCGACCTTGACCTAATAATTAAGAACCTTAACCAGGCAGGAGGAGCAAAGACGAGTAATAAAATCTCTCCGTAACCTTCTTTCGACCTAGTTATAAACCTTCCCAATCTCTCTTAATGAAGACTATTTTCCCAACTATACTTCC